AACCGGTTTGCTCCTATGTGCTGGGGAGGGAGTGGGGGGGGGATGGAAAAATCCTTGGGAATTTATCCCTCATCACCACCAGCAGGCCAGGGTGAGGCTGTGGGCTGAGAAGCAGCCTTGCTTGGCAGCACCTCCTCTCCTGAGACCTCCCTCCAGCCCATAATCACATTTTTTGGGCCCATGACCACGTTTTTTTTGGACCCATAACCACGTTTCTCAGAATTATTTCCCTCCCCAACCCCCCCCTCCCCGGATTTATGGCTCTATGTACCTTGTGCAGAATCACTCCAGCAGCTGCTGTGCCAGAGCCTGGGGGGGCTGTGAGGACCAGGCAAGGCAGAACCTGCTGGGGGCAGGTTAGAGAAAGAAAACACACAGAGAGGAAAAAAAACACAACCCCAAACACCCCCCCAAAAGAGGGAGGATTTAAACCCCTCTACACATGGTCTAAGTGTACTTGTTGGAATTAATTGTAATGTAAATATATTATCTGTTGAATGTAGTCATTAGGTATTTATGAATATATTGCTGTAATTTCTGAAAACATACAAAAAAATTAATAATAAGAATAATAGTAATAATAAACTCTTCCACAACGATGAAAAAGGATTCTTTCTCCCCCCTCCACCCCTCCTGACCCCCCTTCCCCAGGCGATGGGAAAGCAGCTCCTGCCATCCTCACCTTGTCAGAGCTCCTGGGAAGGCAGGCAGGGCACAGATGACAAGCAGGAGCTGGGCAAGTGCTGGCCCAGGTGCTGAGGGGAAGGGCACCGCTCGCCACCTTTGGGTTCCAGCCGGTATTTCCCTTTCCCTCCCTTTCCTTACCCGGAATAATTACATCTGCCATCGGGGAGGATCCTTCCCTTGCCTGCCCGGTTGCTGCAGGGCGGGAGGGGGCGTTTCCAAGCCTTGTTGAACCCCTGTCCCTCCCCAGCACAGACACCAGTTCCAACCCCATTCACTCAGCAGTTCCTGATTTTATTTTTTATACACTCAATTTCTGATTAAAAAAGAACATAACATAATAATAATAAAAAAGGCAGGTGTATGATAATACAAGGCAAGGCTCAGGAGAGGGAAAGCCATTTTCTTTTGTCCTTCTCCAAAGAGCAGATGGATCTGCTTCCCAGCTGATCTCCCCAGCAGACACCTCTTGCTGCCGCACATCAGCTTCCCCCCCCCCACCAGCCCCCCCCTTCAAAGCTCCGAGAAAAATCTATGGCAAAGCACCGCCTAGAAATCCCTGCCTTTCAAGGCAGTGTGTGGCCTGTGCTGCCCTCAGAAGTTCCCTCTCTGAAGTACACTCAGGCTCTCCAGGGCCCAGGGATCTGCCTGACATCATTAGCCAGCAGCCAGGGTGACAACCCACCCACCACCTGCACCTGGCAGAGCTCTGAACCCGAGAGAGAAAAGCTCACCTCTGCCAAGAGGGAGCATCTGGGAACTACTGGGCAGGGATGTTCCTGTGCTGTCGGCAGCTCCAGAGCAATTCCCAGCTGTCCATGAGGCTGCCTGCTCCCTCCCCTGCCTGCAAACCCTCCTTGGCAGCAGCTGAGGCTGTGGTGGCTTCAGAAGGGCTGTGCAGGGAGGTGGAGGGTGGTCAGGTGAAGGTCCAAGGGTGAGGAGTGGAGCCTGCTCCTTTCTGCTGCACTCTGTGGGGTGGTCTGAGGGCTGGTACCTCAGAAATCCTGGGAATGGGCACTCTCACCAGGCTGAAGGTTAGTCCTGAGCTTGTACATGTGGTCCAAGGCTTGAGTGAGGAAAGTCCCAGTTGTGTTGATCTCCATCAGGGTTAAGTTATCCAGCTAAGAGAGAAAACAACAGCATCTGGGGAAACAGTCAGAGCAGAGGACAAGGAACAGAAAGCAGCTCTGCAGCCCACACGGTTCCTTTGGTGACACCCCCAGGGAGTGGCTCAGCTGCCACCCCCTGGACAAGGGAAGCCCAGAAGCCAGGAGAGAAGGATTTCCCCAGGCCCAGGGAGCTGCCACCAGCCCACGGCTCCGGCTCCCAACCCACCAGGAAGAACACACGCCCGACCAGCATTTTCACCAGCAGCTCTCATCAGTCAGCAGCCCACACAATCCCACGGCATCGGGAACCCTCCCAGCAGGGACCTGGCAGCCCCCTCCCCTCAGCACCTTGGCATGAGCCTCCTGCTGCCTGACGAAGCTGTCTGCCGACAGCCGCAGCTTGGCCAGCCGCGTGTCCCACGTCTCCTTCACCAGCGTGCGGATCTCGTCGGCTTTGGGGATGTTGTCTGAGGCACTGCAGGAGGGAGAGGAGGAGGAGGGGGAGAGCAGATCAGAACAGGCTGTGAGGGACTCGTCGTGTCCCTGGTGTAAGCCACGTTGGCAGCTCCTCACCTCTCCCAGGCATGAGCAGCGCAGCTCGCGACAGAGCCGGGGAGGGAAACAAAACCCCCAGCCTGGTATTTTTGGGATAGTTTTGTTTTGCCAGGAATGCTCAGCATCTGCTTCTCACTAGGCTCCTTCTGCTCTTTAATTGCCCAGCTGGTAGGAGGTACACAGAGGGCCACTAACCCAGCCAAAAGCAGAGGCAGGGCTGGAAGGACCGGGCTCCGCGCTCCCGTGGCTCCACCCGGGAGCACTAAGTGGAAGGGACTGTACTAGCTGTGCCACATCCTGCCATTAAGGCAACCCAGAGCTGCCATAAGGACCTGGAGATATCAGATCAGCTCCCAGGGACAGGGCTGTCAGGGTCACTGTAGCGTGAGGGAAGGAGCCACGTGCCAAGAGCTTCATCTCCAGAGGAAAAGCCAGAGCTCCAGCAACCGCCCCGACACCCAGGGCTTGGAAAACACCAGCCAGCACGTTTTACAAGTGAGATGCCTCAGCAGGCAGTTCAGACTCATCATATCCCTCTTCTCCTGCTTCTCAGGCTTGAGGAAAGAGGAGCTTTCCTCCTGAAGGAGGGCCAGGGAAGAAGCCTGGAGGGTTTCAGGCTGCTGAACAGATTGCAGCCGCGGCACGTGCTGTGGGTCCTCCCCATCTCCAGGCTCAGCTGCTGCTCAATAAAGCAGCACCAGCCCCAAGGATCAGGCCACAGAAAAAAGCAGTCCTTGAGCCCCCCAAATGCAAAGTTCACCAGGAGAAAACTTCATTGATGGGATCCTGGCAGGCTGTGGAACCAGCCCCCATGGACCCCCCCATCCCTGCCGCCCTCTGGGGCTGCTGCCAACAGGAGCTTGAAGAGCTGTCCCTGCAGGGATTACCCGGGTCCAAAGTGTGACAATCCAGCCCCTACTTACTAGTTTAACAGCAGCTTTGTGAGCTCCATGTAGTAGGGACTGGGCATGGGAGTGAAGGTGTCCTCCTTGCGTTCCTGGTCCCGGATTTCCTCCAGTTTTTCTAAAACACAACCCAGAAGTGTCAAACACCTCCAGACCTTCCAAGCACAAACAGGGTTTTCACCCCCCAGGAAAAAAAAAAAAACGACAAACCAGGTGCTGTTTCTGTAGGACCAACTCTGACACCCAGGCTGGAATGAATGTGTGGATAGGAAATGTTGCAGTGCTGAAGCAGAGGAGGATGCTGACAGGGACAGCATCAGCACATCCTGCTGGGAGGCTGGATCTACACCAGCTCCATCCCCAAACCTGTCAGGAGATGGTCCCTCCACCCACAGAGCACTTGTGCTAATTAGTGTTTGTGCCCTGGGATGGAGGAATCAGGATGCTGGGTGCAGGCCTCCCCCTCCCTCTGCTCCATCAGTGTTTCCTTCTTGTCTCAGTTCCCCTTCAGATGACAACAGAGAGGGTGCCAGGATTCTCACTTTCTACAGGCTGACACCACTTCCCATTTCCAGTGTCCTCCAGGAAAATGATTCCATGGAGTGAACAAACCAGTGACAAACAGACACGGATGCTCTCCAGGCATCCTCCCTCCCCAGAGGGACACCCAGGGTCCCCAGAGGGACACCCAGGGTCCCCAGAGCTCCTTCAGAACCAGCCCAGTGACAGAGGCAGGGGCTGCTCAGAAAGCCCAGTGAGTGGCAGGGCTGGGGATTCCATCCAGCCCCTGCTCTGCCTCCTCACCAGAGGAACAGAACAACACCTGGCACAGCTGGGCAGGTTCCCCCTCCTGTCAGTATCAGGAATTCCAGCGGTGGGACATGAGACCCTTCTCTCAGAGCGACTCTGTGTCTCACCAGTGCCAAACCCAGAGGTTTTCACTTGGTTTCCTGTTCCTCCTGCCCCCTCCCGAGCGCAGGGCAGTCAGGTCTTACCAACATCCATCCACTCGGGGGGAACCAGCCGACACTTCTGCCTCTGCTTCAGGCTGATGGCCAACCAGGCCGGCACCTCCACGGGCAGGCCGGGGTTGAAGGGACCCAGATCTCCCTGGAAAACCAACCGGGAATGAGGCAGGAGCAGCAGGGAGGGCTCAGGCCCCGCAGCCCTCACCTCCTCACTCAGCCTCGCCCATCTGGGGGCAGCTGCAGCTCCCAGGGGGGTCCTGAAGAGCCGAACAGCACCGGAATCCCCTCCCCGCGCTTCCCAAAAATCCTCACTCTGACTTCTCCTCCCCCCTCCCCTTCACCAAGAACAACTC